TCTTCGAAGAAGTATTGCAGAACCTTCATTGCTTTGCCATTTGTTTATGATGGTCATAGACCTAGTGTTTTATTCAACACAAATGGCCGCTCAAGATTAAACTTATGGAGTTCCTGTTCTAGTCGCCTTCAGTGTGTGTCGTGTTTCGGACAGTCGAGCAAGAGTTGACAGATATCCTCGTCGTTATGGCCGCATGAACATGCTGACGATGTTGCATGATGAATACGAATTAGGAAGTGCTTTGTGTAAGCAGCTCCGAGTCGTAGGCGATGTATGAGCGTGTCGATACGTCTTGGGAGGTCACGGTCTAATTGGTATTCAAGATTAGGGTGAACAGAATATAGGATCGATTCATTTGTTTTGTCTGTGAACCAGGTAGACAGGCATAATTCACGTTTTGTTGTTCTTAATATTCTATTTGCATCATATTGAGATACCGGAATGAGGCACGTTTGCGTAGAAATATGAGCGGTTTTCGCCAACTCATCCGCCATTTCCTTTCCCTTAATTCCGCAGCGACTGGGAACAGTGCAGGTTAAAAAACAACGGCTGGTTCGAATTTCCGGAACCCTACACGGTGGCTCTCTTCATAATTATATAATGGTCATGCCATGTTAAATAATTAGATATAAATTAGAACAAGAAGAATAGCGGAATGCGCAGGAGGTTCATTAGGCAGCCTGAAACTGTGAGTATTTTCATCGGAACGTTTGTTCCAGCGATATTCGTTGTTTGTCAGTTGATTGATTGATTGATATGTGGGGTTTAACGTCTCAAAACCATTATATGATTATGAGAGACGCCGTAGTGGAGGGCTCCGAAAATTTCAGCCACCTGGGGTTCTTTACTATGCACCCAAGTCTGAGCACACGGGCCTACAGCTTTTTCGCCTCCATCGAAAATGCAGCTGCCACAGCCGGGATTCGATCCCGCGTCCTGCGGGTCAGCAGTCGAGTACCTTAGCCACTAGACCACCGCGGTGGGGAGTTTGTCAATTTCGGACGTATGTCTTAAACGTTGAATATGATATTCGACAAAGAATTTAATAAAGGAGTGGTACTGTTCCAATCAACGGGGCGCGCAGCCTATGCCGAGGCCATGGCATTGCACGTACACGACCTAGTCTGGGCGACACGGAAGTAGAATAAATGTGCGATCTCGGGAAGTAGGTGGCTATATACGATGCCGCATCTCGCCAGTCAGTTATCGTCGTTCGTAGGCGGCCAGACTGCGAAGCACGTAGGATGGGAAAACATCGGCGTATTTCCAGGATTATAGTTGCGCTTCGAAATCTGGAATAAAAGTTCAGACGTGATGTGAATGACGCAGGAGTGGCGTACTTGTATGCGCCCGTAGCACGCAGGTTTAAATGTTGCTCAGGATTGCAAGCATACCTTACCAAAGGGTACTAAATCTATTTCCAAGTCTAGCTATATACACTTCGATGTGTGAGAAGGAAAAAAGAAAAGATTTGCTCTGTCATAGGTAGTTTTATCAAAGGTGATAAAGAAGGGGGAGGGGGAGATGAACAACAAGAGAGGTGGCAGGGAGGTTAACCAGGCACATGCCCGGTTTGCTACCCTTCGCTGGGGGAATGGTAAGGGGCATAAAGATGAGAGAGAGTGGAAATAGACAAAATCCAAAACTTATAGGAGCCAATTTTAAAACCATACTCATAAGAATAGAGTTACGCCTGCAATTTTTCATTTACAAATTCTGTATTTTGTAGTCTCAAAAGTGACAAAAGGTACTGCTTATGAATCATGATAGAGTAGAACGACGAAATTCTCAGATAAATTTCACCTCAACAATAGAAGCAGCTTCTAACTAGATCAAAATCACCACAGTCTATTGCAAGAAGGGCCAGTGAAAGAAGTATTCAACCAGAATCGTGACAAATACGAGAAATACATACCTAAATAAATGAACCCAACATACATCCTAGGTATGACAAATAAACGTATACCGCTCCACAACTGTTGGTAAAAGAAAACGCATGAGCTGTCACACAGGAAGAATACACTGAAATATACGTGAAAGTTTTCATGTTCACTCGCAACTTCCTTGATGGTGTCCTCATTTGCAGATTGAGTTTTTATACAATTCCAATTGAGTTTCTATATATATTTTTATCACCCACTTCGTGTATGGACAAATTTATTGATTCCACTATCGCTACGGTCGCCATTCGTATAATTTATAGGATGTGGTTGCCACCCTGACTGTCCCTGATTTTACTGTTACCAGCAACACACATATTGTGCGTTCCACTAAGCAAGGATCACATGCACGACATTAAGCAGCGCAACTGATAAAGGCAAAGTTGAAAAGAAAACCTCGCTCAATAGGCGCGCTGTTGCAACAACATGAATACGAACCAAGCTACCCACTTTAGAGGGGTACACATAACTTCTCTGCCAAGTTAGCCAGCGAGATTGATTCTCGCAATAAACGTATACCATTTGCGAAATATCATTTTGCAGCATGGCTTGGAAGGTATTTCAATATATTTTGACGTTTACGTGAGTGGTCGACTCTCGCGCTATTGACGCCCTCAAGGTGACCCTTACTGACCCCCGTACTTCATTCCCGTGACCTTGCTGCAACAATACCTGATGAAGCCATTTCTGCTATTTCTATTTTGCCGCGTTTGCACCAGCAGACTATTACTCGGCAGATGTTCGAGAACCCATGGCTGTGATGCACGCGTTCAAAATATTGTGTTTCAGTACACTGCTCTCCCGTTTACCGTTCAGACGGACGTCTTGATGCGGACCGTGTTGACGTGCGTCATCGTTGTGTGTGCGGACGCGGCTGGAATTAAGTTACACTTGCCAGGGGGTGATAGCTGCCGTCGGCAGCTTGTCATTTATGGAACTCTTTCCGACTGAAACGGAAACTGGTCGGTAATGAGGAACCTATAAATATTTATCTGTCCCACAGCTGCAGTAGCTGATTTGCATCCAGTAACACATGACAGCAAAAAAAAAAAAATCACGCGAAGTTGAAACTTTTGTGTCATCGCCCCTTTAACGATTGATTGATTGATTGATATGTGGAGTTTAACGTACCAAAACCACCTTATATTTAATAAAGATGCCATAGTGGAGAGCTCCGGAAATTTCTACCGCCTCGGGTTCTTTAACGTGCACCCAAATCTGAGCCCACGGGCCTACAGCATTTCCGTCTCCATCGGAAATGCAGCCGCCGAAGCCGGGATGCGATCCCGCGACCTGCGGGTCAGCAGCCGAGTACCTTAGCCGCTAGACCACCGCGGTTGCGCCCCCTTTAACGAAGGATCATTTACCTGAGTGCCACGTCCATTTGTAAAACTAAGAAGCAAAAAGAAAAAAAATAATGCACCGAGTTGGAGCTATAATAGCACCTCGTTCCATCAACCATCCGCATAAATTCGGCGACCATCCCTGAAGGCAAACTTTCTCCACATGTTTCCTTAGGCCGGGAAGAAACGGACTGTTTTTCTCGCACTCTTTCTTCTTCATCTCTTAGGACAATAGAAAAGACACAGGATTATTGCGCGTGCAACGTGATGACAACAATACGGCGTCATTGCTTCCGCACTGAACGGGTAGCCCAGCCCTTCGGGAAACCGACTGCGCTGTAACCTCCCACACCGCCAACGCCCTTTGAGCATCAGCGGCCGCCAGGGAATCGACAGTGAATCGGGGCGCAGTTTAGTGCAGCCTATACAGCGACGAATAACGGTCCACGTTCGTCCGAGACGAAGACCTCGACAAGTATCTGTGACACGAGACGGAATGTAGAATTTTCTTTTGTCTGCGACGCCGTTGTTGCCCATAGGATGTAGGCTAATATCTAGCGCCCAGCCCTGCCACGGGAAGTTATTGTCCCAGTGTACATCTTGCCCGTTCACCGAACGCACTAAGAATCAAGTAACTTCAGACGAACAAACCTGTAGGTCATGGAAACGATTATTCTCATATGTTTTTATGACAATTTTTCTGGCCTGCTGAGAGCTCTTGAGATCCAGCGTATAAACAATAGGCGAAAATGAAAAAAAACACACAACTGTACATTAAGAAAGGCTAAACAGATCAGGAGACCACAACCCGGTGTTTACACAAAGCATTGATTGATTTGTGGGGTTTAACGTCCCAAAAGCACCATTTGATTATGAGAGACGCCGTAGTGGAGGGCTCCGGAAATTTTGACCACCTGGGGTTCTTTAACGTGCACCCAAATCTGAGTACACGGGCCTCCAACATTTCCGCCTCCATCCAAAATGCAGCCGCCGCAGTTTACACAAAGCATTAGCGCGTGGGTTGCAATAACGATTATTAGAATATACTAAAAAAGTTGCTATGATCATTTTTTTGAGTAATGGTCAAATATGGGATTGTATCCACAATACTACTTGGTTACTGACCAGTCTTTCTTGTTAAGAGAAAGAGAGAAATAAATAAAAAGACAGGAAGGGTATCCTCGTTTTAGCTGAAAATGTTTTTGTAATTGGCTTATGCCCAAGTTAACAGAGAGCTGTAACACCCCAAGCTTCATAAGAAGCAATATTCGCAACAAGTGCTGAATTGTTAAAAAGAATTCACTGCTAAAGGCTTATCAGTTTTCACAAGAATATACAAGATAAATACACAGAGACAGCGAAAATTCAGTGTTTTCGGAAATATGGAATTGTATTACGAAGGAGAGTAAAAGAATACTTTTTAAAACATCTTCACGTCTCTGCGCGGAGTCTATATGATGATCATGATAGTTCACCACCAATGGTACAGAGTGATCAATAAATATTTAAGTGAAATTGATGCGAAAGACTTCACTTTGGTCGTAAAGGTGTCTCTCTATTTCTCTCTTTTATTCCCTTATTACACTCTTCGTATCTGCCCACGTGTGGGGTAGTGAACTGGGCGTAGTATAGTTAACTTCCCAACGTTTCTTTCATTATTTCCCCCTCTATTTCTCGTTTGTGTGTTGCACTTTCGTATGTTCAATAAAAAAATATGAACAGGTGTTCACGGTTTTAATGTCATGGATAAACTGTGGCAGTCTTATTGCTGAGAGGCGACTAAAAAGGCACAAAGGTGGTCGTTTGGAGTTTCGAAAAATAAAAAAAAAAACAGTGGGGTTGTTCATTGATCTGGCAGGACCGGGAACTCGTGGTACTTGTTACCAATCTTGTGCAGGCACAACATGATGCCGCCGTTCTTTTCGTCCTCCAGGAGTTGGATGATGGCGTGCGCCACTACTACAGGCCTGAAAAAAATTAATGAGATCAATCAATCAATCAATCAATCAATCAATATATCACTCGACGTTATCTTCATTTCCAATGACAGAAGTTCATCAGCCGACAAGTCGGCTACAATCACGTTGAAAATGCGTTAGTTTATAAGCACGTGGCAGTGAATTTGGGGCCCAGGTTAGAAGAAAAAACTAGTTTACAATGATGTGATAAAGGAAACGATCCAAAGTAGGGGCTCAGAACGGCTGTCTTACCTGCCTCACTATTGCACTTGATCTCTCATCGAAGCCTCAGACATTCACAATCACGTCCCTTACATTCACAATCCTCTCCCTTATATATATATATATATATATATATATATATATATATATATATATATATATATATATATATATATATATATATATATATATATATATATATAAGGGAGAGGATTGTATATTTAAGGGCTCGTTTTTCTGTGTTTTGACACAATATTAATGACATCTAACAGACAATAATGCCAAGGAATAGGAATGTATAGGGGAAGTTATTGGAACTTCCCTAAACATTCCTTGACATTAATGTCTGTTAGATCTCATATAAGTATATATACATATATATATATATATATATATATATATAATTATCGACGATTGTCCAAAGTTATCAGTCTTATTGCTGGATATCGGTCTCCTATCGAAACTTCAGCCCATAAACAGGTTTCGACAAGCTTAAACAAGTTTTTCACATACACACACACGCACACACACACACACACACCCACACACACACACACACACACACACACACACACACACACACACACACACACACACACACACACACACACACACACACACATATATATATATATATATATATATATATATATATATATATATATATATATATATATATATATATATATATATATATATATATATATATATATAATATATATATACGACAACAGAAGACAGCCTTTCTTAATCTACGTACGTCTGCACATATGTATGCTTACTCTAAAAATTTTACTTTTTGCAATGGGAAACCAACATGGTAAACTTATAACCGCCAAGGGACTGCGCGGACCATTCAGCACAGTCACAAACGAGAATGGGAACCGTGGCCTGCTACGTCACGAATAATTATTAATTACGTGCAGTGTGGAAACGTTCAGTATATGCATTTGTTCGTCATTCTTCAGAAAGGCGTGGTACCCACTACACTCTTGTAAAGCAATATGTTCTCTTTGTTGATGCTGTGGCTGACGGTGATGACGTACTATGCCCGAGGCTCCTGCAATGCGTAGAAGCAGCCAACAATCCACTTGTTACGCAATTCACAATGTGTGACTCCTGGTTGTTACTTTACTGTTCCAGGACGCTTCATTACGCACCCTAACACTATTTTTTACCCTACATGAAGCCTGCATAGGCTTATTTTGCAATGTAGTGTAGAGAACGAGTGTAACTCCGTGAGTAAGCACTGAGCATGCCCCGCACAGGGCCCTGGTTCTATTTTTATTGTGTCTTCAATACATTTTATTTATCTAGTTTTTTTCCTTATTCTTGTGATACTAATAACGGACACCAGTGGCGGTGGCGGCGGGCATCTACGGCGCCATAGTTGGCCCTTGTTATGATCTATTAACAGTTTTCGGTGTAAAAGAAATATTATGTGTGATCTGGTAGAGATAAACTATTAGTAACACAAGGTAATCTGAACGCAGCCTATGATATGTGATTACTTATGTGTAGGTTACGCTCAGGGTGTGAAGATTTAGTTCGTACTGTGCATTTTGCTGATGAATTGATGAGCCTATAGGATATGCATCAGAATTGTGTAAATTCACTGGAAAGATGAAAAAAACGTCGCCGTTTTTCGCCACATCATGCAACGAACGATCGCAAGTATGCGTTTAACTGTTATCAGTAACTTTGCACATATTGCATAAAGTAGTGTACGTACTGCTGAATCCGCGTATCGTAGACGTGGGCGTACTCAACGGTCTCTTCGGACATTCGGCAATAGTCCGACAGCTGGGCCCAGAGTCTTGTGTCGATGGGGTCCGGGCAGATACAGTAGACCTTGACGCCGGTGCGGCTGTAGTACATGTCCGACTGCGCGGAAGCAGTAAGGGAGTTAAAAGGACTGCATGTTAGTCGACTTTGTATTCTGGCACACGAGCTATTCGGGACCATGAATACAATTATGCACATGAAGACATGTGCTCATGAACACATGAATACTTTTCGTCACATGAACGAACAAATATGCAGTGAACACATGCATACTATAAGGCACATTAACACATGAATACTATGCCGCACAAGAACACATGTGCACAAGAACGCATGATTAATACTAGGCATATGAACATTTGTGCACATGAACACATGAATACTATTCGGCACATGACCACATGTAAACAATCAAACGCGTACGCGTGTATTACTTTATTACTGGGTAAAACGCACCCGCATGGGGATGCACACTTCTTAGCATGTTCGAAAGATCAGGCAACATCTGCAATTCCTTTCGTATACCACTCTATTCATCGCTCTAGAAAACTAAAGCTTAAGTTCCGGCTATATGCACGGCTTTTCTGGTGATACAGCTGCCTAAGCTAATGAGAGTTGGAGTTACTATCCGTTCATGCTCCAGTGTCACCTTATTAAGATTTTTAGAGTTTGTACTACTGTCTGTAAACGCGTCGAATTGGCACAATAATTCAAAGCACTCGATAGCATATTCCACAGAAAATATTTGAACAATACGCTAAATTGTTTTCATACTTCTTAATCCTCATTAAACTGCACCTAAGTATTTATGCTCAAGTGCTGCATGCTCAATTTTGCCTATATTCAATCAAATCTCTGGCAGCAATTATACTGCTTGTTTGTTTTCACTTATGTTGATTTTCATCAGTCAACAATTGTAGATGGCTCACGGAATGCGGCACGTCGAAATACTTGTACAACATGGTAGTGCCTTGAGCAAGTAATTATATGAAAAAGTACACAGCGTGATGAAAGTACAGGAATGAATAAGCCTTACCTAAAGTGATTTCGCCTGTTTTATTCGGGGGAGGCAGCTACATTTTTTAGGGAGAGGTTCAGTTCATCCAACGCTCACGGTGTGTTGCTTTGTCTTATTCACTATCAAGTCGAAAGCCTTTATTGTATGTGTTTAGTACTCGGCACTCTACTATGGGAGAGCAGAAAGCCGTCTGTGTTTAGATAAAATGGGGAATGATTTAGAGATCTTGGTACTCTACAAAAGGAGAGCACTAGGCCATACTGTGGGCCTCACACTCGATGAGGCTATGTTGACAAATATTCAGCCGGGAAGGAATTCTCGTCTTACGAAGAACTATCGATTTCAACTCTAACAACTGCCAACGCGCAGTGGAAGTCCCCGCAAGTCGTAGCCTTACATCTGTAAGTCCCCCGTAAGTGCCTAAGTATATCTGCCCTCATCATAATACAAATCCGTCATTGTATCGCCGGTTTCATTTCGGAAGCTAGAATGTCCTGGCAAATGTCGTTCCGTATTCTTGCGCCGCTGTCTGAAGAGACGTAATTTTATGAACAGGAACAACGAATTTTTAATAATTATACCCGTAGTGTTTGTACTCGCCGACAAAGAGTACTTGCGGCTTGAGCGGAAATCAGCTGGAGTGACTGCCCTTCGCAAGAGAAGGCAGGCGCGCCGAAAAGCAAGTCCACAGCAAGTGGTTCAGAGAAGCGCCCCAGGAATGCGATTTCCTAGTTACCCTTGAACCCGAATTCAACCTGAGAGGACTGGGAGGTGGCCCTGCTTTGATGCTAGGAAGTTCCGGCCCAACAGCCCAAGGTCTAGCGTGCCAGGACGGCGGCTACAACCTATGGGGTCCCTGACAAGGGACCCCACCTATAGTACTGCAAAGAAGCTGACCTATAGTACTGCAAAGAAGTTCCATGCCGAATGCTATACGTGTACAAAAAGCAACAAACAAACAAACAAACAAACAAACAAACAAACAGAGGGGACGCGTATTCAGTCGAAGGGTAAGGGGCCTTTGACGAACACACTTTGAAACTTTGTAAATTCCAAAGATTACTTAGCGAAAGCCTATGGCTTTTCTACTGGCTTTAAATGTTTCGACGCCACTGGCAAAGACAACTGAAGTTCACAATTGTTTACAAAAAGTGTCACATGTCGATTACCATTTATAAAAGAATTATCAAATGACTCACTCCGAAACATCTGGTCATAGTGACGATGGCGGCTTGGGATGTGTTGTAGGCCGGAAGCTGTGGCAACACGTAGATTCCTGAAAAAAGGCGAGATTACTGCAGCTCATCGAAGCATAAATAGCCAGATTTACATAGCGCACGAGAATCTCATTGCGGAATAGAAGTGATCTCGGCGGTGTACGGTGGTCAACGAGTGAGAAATATTTAGCTAATTTTGTATTAATCTGAAGTAACTTAGAACAATTTAGCAATGAGCACCAGAAGACTTTTCAGAGATCCTGGAAGGGAATAATTACACAACGATAAAGCGTGTAGTAGGGCTCCGCGCGAAAAAAATGGTCTTGGCAATGACAGTGGCCGCGGAACGGCAGCAAGAATCATTGTAAGTAAGCAAGAGTTACATTACCAAGTTCTTCGAAATGCATAGACACCCTATAAAAAGATTTGCAGTATTCTCAAGCTATGTTTGGAGCAGTCATGTGTAAGTAAAAATATTGTGTCAACAAGCTAATTGTGTTGAAAATACTTTCGCAGTCTGGCGTACAAGTGAAAATCACTACACATAATCATAGAGGCGTCATTAACAACGTCGTTCTTATAATAAGGTGCGTGTTTGACTCACGCATCTCATTGTCACAGTAGCGTAGGCTTAATTGTTATCTTCATTGTTTCTTCTTCTCTAATCTCTCTACATAGGTTAGATATGTGTATTTTCACAATTTAATACAAAGTATCAATTATAGTTTCCTTTAGTGCTAGTTATTTCAAGTCTCACCACATCTCCATTTTGGATCTCATCGCGGTAGGTATTGCACTTAATTGTTCACAAATTTCCGACTGCCACACAAAATTGAAGTTTCATGATAGCCCAAGTAACTACTTGAAGCCATTTTATAATGAGCATTTACTTATCAGAAAAATATGTGTCTGATAACGTAATGGTTTATGGGCCCAGGTTTACTAAAAGAATTGTTGGTTACAAACAGTTCCATTAAAAGCCAATGCCGACTTGCAAGTACGGGCAAAAGCTAATGGTAATGTTGCATTATATTCTGCTTCAACAATCCCGTTGTAGTAAAAGTTGGGGTTTATAGCTTGCAGACATCACGCAAGTTCACCTCGTTAACAATTCTTTAGAGAAAGTTATTCTTTGGTCATTGAAACGCATGGACGTTTTTTTTTTCCTTCAAAGCCTACACTGACTTTCATGGTTTATTACTGTAGTAAGATTACATAGGAAACAAAATTAACTCATGTCTTTCAAAATGCTTCTCGTATGCGTGATTAGACGTTACCTATAAATGGCACGTACCTGATACCGATGACACATTGACGACGTGTCCTCCTTTGCCGCCCTTGGATTTGTCCATGTATTTCATTGCGAGGAGGATGCCGGAGTAGTAGGCTTCCTTGATGGAAAAGGTGCAAAATGAAACGTTAACCCGTTGTTTTTCACATACAGTGTGCGCAGTGAACGCGAAAAAAAATATATTTGCAGGCAGTTTTTATTTCTAAGAAATACCTTGAAAAAAAAAGGTTACATCGATATTTGTAGGATTATTAAAAGTTTTGTAACTGCCACGTTTTTTGCAGACACCAATTAATGTGGAGATCACAACTGCACGACCATGCACTTAACTCTTGAAATACTTTTTGAGACATGAACAGATTGAAAAAGCTACTTTTTTGCCAATTTCATTTTATAATTTTTCTATTTTGTGTATATCGTTCTTCTCACAGTGCCATTGTTCTTGGTTTTTTTGATCAAACTAGATGTATCTTGAACTTAGTCATCCTCTTTGTCTCTAGAGTGTTCACCATCCATGCGTGGCTTGGCGGTCTCTCTGGTGGAATATACTCTTCTACGCAATCTGTACCGAAGACGTTTTTTTCTTCACTTCGGCGGTGGTATTCCTTTCGAAAGATGATGTCTCGGATTTGCTCGTCATTGAACTGGGTACCTTAAAAACTTATCTAAGGCAATGAGATGCTTTAATAGATTTTTTTTACCACAGAATAATAAAAATATGCAGAACTGCGTCACACTGCCAACTTCAGCACACTTTTTTGAATACCCGGAGAACAAAACTTGCTAGTTGTGAGTGCCACAGACCTGTGTACAAGCCTCAACTGCACGCAAAACTGTTATTAACCGATCACACCCAAATGTTACAAACTAATATTGTTTTGTAGACATCGTTAAAAAAGGTAGATACCTTTATAATTAGATATTGCAAGTAATGAGTAAATGGGAGCATGAAAAAAAAAACACGTGAGATCAGGTACACGTCGTCTTTGCTGGCCGCAAGCAATGTCAATTTTCACAAAAAACGTCGCACTCAAGTGCACTACCACTGGTGCCACTAATGAAGTTAGCGGCAGCTCGGGGTCACAAGTCTCATCATAAAATTTTGGGGCAGAAAGAAAATTCACAAGACTACCACAAACCTGGCACCTGGGATACAAAGGATTAGGGTATTTATGAGACGCCGACAACACGATGACGTAGCGTTGTCACGAAATGACGTAGAGTTAGACTAACCGTTCTGATAGATGTGACAATCCAACAGCAGCAATGACAACTTTATTTACAGTCTAGGTGTGTTTAGGCAGATGAGCAAATGATCAATGAGCAAAAGCGCAAATGAGCTTCCAACAATCGCATTATTGCGTCCGTGACCATTCCATGTCATGACACTATATTATTATTCGAATAATGACATGCAGGCGTTGAATTTTCAGTTATGTTTCACCCGTTAGCACGAGAAGCATCTGTTTAAGGTGGTGTATGTTACATACTTTATAACTACCGATAAAGAAGGGGTAGCTTTGTACTAGTATTCCATTGTCATCATTAGTCTTCAGTACTACATTTGAGGTACGTGTCTGTGAGATTACTTGAGAAGTAGTATAACAGGCTTATTCGAAATGACACCGCGACACCTTTAATACTAATGCCGTGCTAGTGGGTGAATAGATTGTGCTGCTATGGGCGTTTTTTATATGTTTTGTGTAAGTAAAATGTCAGTATCTCGTAATGAAAGCGAACGGTGAAAAGTAGCAGTTCGTTTATAAAAACCATGTGCATTTCGGGCACGCAAGCCCGTCCAAATTTTATTTCGCAGTTTATACTGTAGTGGTCTAACAAATGCAAATCTCGGACAACACTGGAGAAGGACGCGAAGGGCTACCGCTAATTTCAATGCTTCCTAGCTTCAATATCAATGTCGAAAGAAAACAAAAGCAGTAAGGATGGTGAATTTTCAATGCCTCCTATGCCAATAAATGAATCATTTACTCACAAGGTTCACAGAGAAGACCTTTCGCCACTGGTCTTCTCCTGCAATGCCAGCGTTGTTCACGAGGATGTCAATACCACCAAAGTGGTTCTTGGTCTTCTTAAAGCCATCTGAAAAGCCCAGAAGCATCCATATGAAATGCTAGTCAATATCGTAGAGATGTTGCCTAATAGGTATTTAGTAGTCGCTCTCTCGCTGATATTCAGCGCACTGAATATTTACTCAAGCAGGAGAGTTCAAGGATTGCTTTGTAGCAATATGTTTTCGAAATTTGAGGGAAAAATTATGCGCTGGCTCACACTTGGTGTCATACGAGTGCTCATTGAACCAGTATTTTATTTGTTATAACCATAACTACCACCAATGCAGCTGAGCGACATCACTGTAATGCTGGCTATATAATAGTTTTTTTTTTTGCAAAATTATCATACATCATACGAGACGCTTACCTTTATTGAAGTTATCTTAATTTCCAGATATTACACATAACCTTCAGCATAGGCTTTCTAATTTTGCATGTGAACATACAAGTAAGGCCGCCACCAAAACACATAATCGTCGTGATTTATTATAAATTGGGCAGTTTAGTACTGTGAAAATAATCGCATTTAATGAAGCTCGTCGTCAACCCTGCGGCCTTATCGAAAGTTTGTTTTGAACCCTTTCAGGAATTATCTAAAATGTTCGCTCTTTATCAGCCGTGTTTTTTTTGTTTTTTTTTTGGCGTCAAACATTTACGAATTGAGTACATTTTCTTATGCAATATGTCACCCCGTGATACCATGAGTGACACAGACAAAGTTATTCAATATTAAAAAAAACTAATATTTTTGGACATAACGAATACAATTGTTGATTTTGGTGTGTGTACTCGCTGTACTATACGGACAATAACTGACGCTTTTTTTAGCACTTTTTTTTTGCTATTCTGTGCTCTCCTTTACTCTCTATGTGTCTTCTCCACTGTCGTTGGGCCACGAGCTAGTTTCGATATCAGTTTATCTGACTGCGTTTTGCTCGTTTTTATCTTTTTTTCTGTGGAGATAACAAACATATAGGTTGCTTGTTCTACAAAACGCTGCAAGATGAAAAGAATCTTGATAAGGCTGCGTAATGTTAAGAAGAAAGATTTTAATTACCTTTTCTTGGGGCGCGCGAGAGAACTTAGTTTTCAACTTTTCGTCTGCTGAATTATCTGAAGAAGCAGCGAAGCGCGGGCCCTAATCTATCCTGTGACCTCGAAATCAGTTACGTAACATATTCGCCGCCCCGAAATTCTCACAGATAAGCCCCCTCCCTTCCGAAAAATACGATCGGCGTAATGATAAAACAAAATAACCAAACAACAAATAGAAAAAAGCAGCAATATTAAATCCACCACGTTCAGGTGCAAGCGATGTGACTTAAAAAGTCGTACATGGTAGCCTTTAGAGATTTTTTTTTTTTCGAAGATGGGTTGCTGCATCGTCTAGCTAGTCTCGACATCAATTTATTGCTATGCCCTGTTGCCGAGAGCCCTGATCTTCCGCAGCGAATGCCTCAGCGTCCTCAATAGCGAGCTCGACCTGTTTTGCTTTTGTATTTATCTTTTATGAGGATAGCGCCATGTCTGCGGCGCGCCGCTTCCGCTGGGAAACATCGTAGCCACGCAAGACCACCAAGGACTTAGTTCCTTAACTGCGCGCACCGATCTCACTGACCATTGTAACCGCACTTGTATACGCACTGACATAGTTAGATTTGCAATCGCGATAGTACATGACAAAGGCCTTTCCTTTCACAACTTCGAAGGTGCAATATGTGTAAATGGAGTCGTTATCAAGTTCTTACTTATCTGTTTCTCGCATTGTTTCTTGACTACGCCGTGTACTTTGAACGTACAAACAGGCCGGTCGTGTTTTTTGGCTTGTTATCAGATTTTACAGCTGTGTTGGTTGCAAAGGATCCGTTGTTTATGTTAATTCGCGTCGTGCCGTTGGAGTTGTGATATCGGCTGCAAATTGCAAGCGCGGGCCAACTGCCATCTATCGTGGATTTTTCGCTTCCCCGACGTGCGTTTGCATACCAATGCGTTGTAGAAGAAAACCGCGTGGCTTGGAAAACCGCAATGGGTTGTAGAGGAAAAACCGCAATTTCAGATAATTGAAACTTCTCAAACAGGTTCTAATTAACATAGCCTGCTTGTCCCACAATATATACGCTGGCCACCACTTTATCATTGGATTTGTAGGGTTGGCACTGGGGATGTAGGACAGGGACGTAAAATTTAATTTTCTCTTCTGTGAAGGGACAATCGTTACCGAGCAAGCGAGTAAACCGAGCACTACTCATGGTGAGTCACACGCTTCAGCATTCCCTATCTGATCGCTGAATTCTGCGTTTGGTATTTCACCACCCAAGCCACGTTCCATTGGCATAATGAATGAGAAACAACGCTCGTTCACTCTTTCACTCACTCATTCATTCACTCAGTATGTCAGTCAGTCAGACAGTCCGTCAGTCAGTTTCTGGCACTCTTCTTTCCGTACACATTGAATAGCACCAAATGAACCGAGATCAGAAGTCTCTGCTAAACTGTACGACAATATTCGATTGTTTAGTTGTGGATCTGTTAGCCCTATGATTTCTGTTAGCCCCTACATACGAATCTACCAGACAGCTAGGTCTAAATGTTAAGCTTTTTTTTTTATTTCAGCGGCCCGAAAACCCAAGTAACCCGGTCTTCGAAATTTATATACCAAATATTGCTTTTTTAATAGAAATTAGGTTGTTTTCTTCACATCAAACAATAACTAGATGCACAAATTGTCATTTCTGGTTTAATTGACCATCCAGTTGGATATTTAAGATAAAAAGCAAACAATAACAGCCAACGTTTAAAATTTTTAGCTGTGAAGTTCACTTCTTGTTTTGTTTATTTCAACGTCCCTTCGTTAATCAAATTAGAAACCTAACTTCGTGGTGCGAAATGGTGTTGGACGTGTAATGTTTATTCGGCAGTCTGGTTAGATTACCTGTTGGGAAAAGGACACCTTAAAATTGCATGCGTTAAAAAAAGAGGTCTCTTGTCTTCATTGATAGCTCAGTCGAATTAATACCATGAAGTTTTGAATAAGAACTCCAGAAAGCGTCAGCAAAGGAACTCATTGGTTATGAATTATGGCCTAGCTCTTTATTAATGTGGCTCTCCCCGGAACTCGGCTCACATCGAATATTGGTAGGCTACACTCTTTTGCCTACTCTTACCCTTACAAATGCTAGGCCCTCGAAGCAACTATATTTGTCCCGACATACAACGAACCGAACTCTTGTTTTCCTAACCACATGACAGGCATTTCAGCCCCAACGACCACAGCGCGGTAATCGGGCCACCCGATGTGGGACGCAAGACTATTCAAGACGCCACTACTGTGTACGGTGTTATGCCGCTCCCATGCGGCAGTTACGTATACATGCTCCGAAATTATGCATAGCTGTGCGCCGGAGGTGCGGCAGTGCGCTTTTCCAAGCGAGGACTATTAACGGAGTGACGCGGCGGGTTATTTGCGAGGGCTCGCCTCTCAGTGCAACCAAGAAGGAAGCTGCGAGATAACACGCCCACAACGTACACTGGCGCGTCGCCACCGCACAACCTCCCGTGTCGCAGGCCCGCAGTACACCGGAACAAATGCCGAGAGTCCTAGCGGGCATTGAGTACGGGTAACCGTGGGAGGGGGTAATAAGTGAGGGTGTGGTTAGCTGCGACGTAGCAGTTTGGAATCCTCGCCGCCTGCCGTCTTTCAGCGGAGCCAACTGCTCCGGAAAGCCGGCGTTTTCGAGAAGGACGGCGAGGTGGGCGCTGCGTTCTGTACGTAATCCGCGTGCGGTAGCGAGCAGAGCGGAAGGGATGTAGTTTGCGGTGCCGTGCATAGCCGAGGCACGCGGCATACATGGGACAGCGGCCGTGAGACGACGAAAGTGCGGTCTTTTACTGCGGTGTCCCACATAATCACGACAGTTGCCGTTGTTGTCTTTTTTGTTGTTGTTGTTGTTCTCGTTACCGCGGATCAAAAGTCTTTCTCGTTTCTCGCTCCGTTTACTCGCGTTAGCGGCTTTCCTCCACTCCTGCGTGTGCGGCCAAGTCACACAAAAGGCGGGCTGCTGTCCGTTCCGACGGATATCTTAGACGCTTATATGATCGAGCACTTGCCTTTTGCCGGCTCACCTTGATCATCCCCGTTCGTCGTTACTCAATCGTCCTTCGACGCAGCTGCGCTGTCACGCGGCCGATGTATTATAAAGTATACGGTCGTGGGACCGTTTCTCTCGCTGTTCACTTTGACAGTACTCACACGCACTCATTTCCCTTTGGCGTGTAATTAATGGAGAACGCTTATTTTTTCTGCCGCTGCTACGCCTTATTTACGATGCGCAGCCTTCCTGCCTAGACAGCGGCCATCGGCTGCGCTGAAAAGATATATCTTCACGACACTAAACTTCCGTTTCCGGCAGACCACGCCTTCAGGGGAGAAACAGCTCTTGAATATGCAATGCGTGGCAGCCAGCTCCCGTGTAATCCCCGTCTACCTGCTGTCACGCCATTCACTTTTGCTTTTCTCTCAGTGTTTTCATCTCGGAGTGTTAGTTTTTGTTACGTTTAATAACCACTCCAGCGGCTTTTGGAGCGTGAAATTTTTTGTACACGAATGCCTGGTCCCGAGAGTGATGCCTGGTAGTCCCAGGCAAAAGATCATTTTGTGTCGGGTGATGTATAAGGGATGCCTTGTGATATTTTGACCCCATCGCTTCAAGAAGGTTTCAGTTTGGGACTAAGAAGATCCATCAGAGTGATGTTCATTTTAATATTGCGAAGATTGCAATCCATGGCCTACTTACGTTCTTGCGTGCACCTTTTAAGGTTTAACGAACATGTTACGAAGAAACGCTTTGCGGACAATATTGATTGTTTCAAACCTCATTCCTATTAAGTATTTATATTATCTGCAGCGTCTGAGCTGTCATATATTCTTTTCAGTGAGCGAAATAAAAATTTTGATGGATGACTATAGCGTTTTTGTGCGCGTCTGAACGCAGCGCAACGGATGAATGGGAATCATTTCCGCGGTAAATGCCCTGACCGACTTCGACATGCAAACGGGGCCGCTGTCCTTAGAGAACGATTGCGGCACAGATTACAGTGTCCTTGAAGGCATTGTTCGAATCTGGCAGGTCCAGCTCTGGGTACTTTTGTGTGGAAGGTCTTACCGCAGATATGACCCGCCATTTCGCCTCATGAGATTTGCGAAGATTAGTTATTAGAGAAACTTATAGGCATTTATCGAAGTGCAAAAAAAGATGAAGGCACAGTCAAGATGCCAGATATTTTGCTCACGTGCAAGAATTGTCCGGGATAAGAAACATTTCAAAAAGTGGTAGACATCTTTAAATATTATTCCTCTAATAAGAAAAAAAAGTGTTGCCTTGTTTTATTGTTACGATGCCTTTTTACATCTTTATGGAATTTGAGAGTTTTAAAATTGTTAATGTTTTTAGCAAGCACCTAAATAAACTTGGCGCATTGGGTCACCACACGTAGAGACCTAGGACGGATACAGATGCATACAATGACAAACATTTTGTCTACCGGCCTACAGTTAACTGGTCAGTTAAGGATAACATTGCAATTTTCAAGAGAAATGACTGAGTCAAATGTTAGCAGTACCCAAGGAAAGTAATTGTGTTACTTCGTCGCACATATTTTAGCATTGACGTTTTGATGATGTCTTTGTTCTGTTTTCGGGTTGTTTTAAAGGCTGCAAAACTTCTCGTAGTCCGGGTCGTAAACAAAGTTAAAAATTAAGGAACCCTAAAGCTTTGCCTTTAGGAGTTGAACGTGATAGCGATATTCCGTTCCTGGTGCTTACTTGAAATATTTTGTTCATGAAGTCTTTTCTAACTTGCTACGCATCAACTACGTGGCCTTAAGTAGCGTGTGTATCTTTTATAGTGGGTGACCGCCTTTATACAACGAAACCATTATGGTAATTGCATGTTCTCACGCCAGTTGGCAATGGATGGTTGTATACCACGCATAATTACTGCAATATTTCATGTTGCATTGTCAAGCATATATACAAGACACGTGTGGTTGTGCAGCATGAAAGCTAGTTTCACTCCACTTCCGAGCAGAGGAAGTCTTTTTCGCTGTATTTACAAGCACATGCATGGCCTTGTGGTAGAACATTCGCTTGGCCCCGCCGCGGTGGTCTAGTGACTAAGGTACTCGGCTGCTGACCTGGAGTTTGCGGGATTAAATCCCGGCTGCGGCGGCTGCATTTTCGATGGAGGCGAAAATGCTGTAGGCCCGTGTGATCAGATTGGGGTGTACGTTAAATAACACCAGGTGGTCGAAATTTCCGGAGCCCACCACTACGGCGTCTCTCATAATGATATGGTGGTTTCGGGACGTTACACTCCACGTATCAATCAATCAGAACATTCGCTTGCCACGCAAACGAACCGGGTTTGATACCCATTCACCTCAAATGACCCTGGTTCGATCCCCAGTCTGACTAGGGAATTTTTAATGGAATGAAAAAACTTTATTTCGGTCCTGCAGGACGCGCTTAGCGCGTAGCGGGCGTCTCCCACGTAGGGACCGACAGGGAGTACCTGGCGGCCGCTTCGTGGGCCTGCTGGACGGCCCATCGCTGGTCGGCGAGAAGTGAGCTTCTGAGGGACCTCTCCCACTTGCTTGAGGTAGAGTCGGGAGGAGTTGTTCTACACTCCCAGAGCATGTGTTCGAGTGTCGCTGTGTGTCCACATGATGGGCATGTGTCGCTGGGGTATGCATCGGGATAATAAATGTGAAGCGTAGCAAGGTTTGGGTGCGTGTGTGTCTGTAATAGGCGTAGGGTTAATGCCTGCGGTCGGTTAAGTTTCGGATGTGGGGGTGGAAAAATGCGGCGTTCCAAGTAAAAGTGCTTTGTAATTTCATTGTACGTGATTGGTGCATCCCGATTGGTATCCAACCCAGCAAGATGAGGTTGCCCTGTGGCAGCGCGGTCGGTAAGTGCGCGCGCTGCATCATGGGCGATCTCGTTGTGATTGGATAGGGCACCCGGCACCTGGCCGAGATGGGCGGGGAACAAGACGGAATTTTTAATCCTTTATTTCATTTGCAGCGTTCTCAACCTTGCGGATACAGATAAGATGATGATTTTTTTACTCACAACCAATGACACCAATGCTGACGCCAACACCAGAATTTTTGTGAAACAATGCAGTGTGCTGCAAGTGTTCACAGATACCATCAATTTGCGTTAAGCTTGGCACTGCTTTTAAAGAGGTGTTTGAAGCTTAACACTGAGTGAAAGACTTCGATTGTGTCCAGAAACGCGATTTGTCTTCAGTGGTAGTTAGTATTCTTGGTAACAACTCGGTGCGCACATAGTGGAAGAGAAAACTAAAGGCTTTGCTTTGCTTCGCTTCGCTATCCTAGATACATAGCACGTACCCACTTTGGGGGATTGGCCAAGAATGCAACGTAGGGACTGGTAAATGTTATTTTAGGTAAGCTGTGAAATTTAAAACCAAAAATAATGAAATGAAATGGCAAATACACGAAAAATAATGAACTACAAGTAATATACTTTTGAGCCTGTATTTCAGACTGCCGTAATAACCCGACGGGAAAACGGAAGGCGAAAGTGCAAACTAGCACGGCTTCTGTTTTTTAGCCTTCCGTTTTCCCGTCCACTGTACACGCGCCGCATTGTTACCAAGAATCTTTTCAAACCAACTCGCCCCACATTTCATTCTGTTACAGCAGTTATTATTTCCAAACTCCTTGTGCGTGAAGTAGCATAGCTTATGTCATCATACGTATTAATAGATGCTGTTCATTTGCCAGAGACACAGCTTTCCTAGAACAAACAGCGCCATGCATGCTTCGTTACCTTCAAACTGGGCATCGTTGGTGACGTCACACTTGTAGAACACGCAGTTAGCGTTGGGAAACTTCTTCACCATGTCGGCGGCCGTCTGCTTGCCCATGGGTTCGTCTATGTCAAGTATAGACACCTGCGGGAATCGGGAAGAGAAACACCTTGAATTGCGATTAAAGTAGGTAGTACGAGTATTTACCACAATTTCATTAGATGAATAGTGATTGCATAATTTGGTGTCCCATAGTTGTGGGTACCTACACATATGTCTTGCTGCGTGCCTTTGCGAATAAAAAACGTTATACCGAAATGCTGTTATTAAGTGAAATATTGCAGGCAGGTCTGAAAAAAATGAATGTTCTAGCAAAACAGCCACTTGGGTTGCGTGGTAATTATTCACGCTAAATGGAAGAAAGAAGGTGCAGTACAAAATAGAAACGAAAGAAGAGAACGAAGACACAGGTACACAAACAGTGTGCCTGTGTAGCACTGTTTGCGTGCGATTACAGAGTGCTTGCGTCACCAATTTCTTCTTTTTTAGTGCCTGTTTTGTAAAGCACCCCTCTTTCGCATTTAATATGAATGTTTTTTCGATGATGTCTCATTTGTTGTTATGAAAATTTCTATTGCAAAGGCTGCTTTTTTGTTAGGATTTTCGTAAAGAACCTTCTTTGCTGCACTTGTGCGGTTTGATGACTGAAACTGCTTGCGACAATTTGTGAGGCATTGAATTGCCTCTTTGCCGATCCGGCCCAGCTACCCTACATGTATGATCTATGCACGGTATATTGTACTTCGTTTATTTATGGACTGATGCTTATAGGTAGGGCAAAGCAGAAAAAGCCAGCAGTGGGCAGATCAGATGAGAGAAATTAGTTCTCCTCTACACTGATATCCCCTGGCTGTGCTTATAAATGAATTATTTATCAAACTCAAGAGTATTTATCTTGAGTTCGATAAATATTCGAACTCAAGAACAAAAGAAAAGATAAATAACTTATGTGTATGAATAACATGAATGTACGAGGGCCAATATTTGAGTGGATTGATTGAGCGTCACCTTGTGAGTGACGACAAAAAGAAGACGTACATTCCAGTGCCGTCAATGTTTACTGTTACGTTCTTGCGGTTCTCTGTTGCACCTTCAATGATGAGACATGTACCACAGGTGTGCATACAAATGGTCCATTCCATAACATGTCTACCCGGTCAATTTTAAGATCATCGCCGATCATGCTGAAAAATATCGTGCAGGTGTATCTGATTGAGAGAAGTAGTTATTGAGGCATTATAATTCGGGAAGGAGGAGGAAGGAAGAGGAAGGGAAGAAATGAAAGGCAGGGAGGTCAACCAGACGCACGTCCAGTTTGCTACCCAGCACTGGGGGAAGGGGTGGGGGGATTAAAGGAGAAGAGAGAGAGAAGTGAAGGGCAACGTGTATGTAGGTGTGACCTCGTCCATTGCCCGCTTATAAGAGGTCGCGTAGTCCGGTCGTATTTAGAAAACTTAGCAGTGCCCGCGTCGCTTTGCTGGCCAGCGACGCATAGAGCCATGAGCCAAGTATCTTCTCTTCGGAAAATGGTCTACTGTCTAGTGTCTCCAACGTTTGACGTAGCAAATTGCGTTCGCTCGCAAAACGTTCACATGAACACAGTAGATGTTCTATTGTCTCGTCAGTGTCGCACGATTCACATCGGGAGCTATCCGCCATTCCTATGCGAAAGGAGTACGCCTTTGTAAAAGCTACTCCTAACCACAGGCGGCACAGTAAAGTTGCATCCTGGCGGGAGAGGTCCGATGGAACTTGAAGCTTTCTCGATGGGTCCAATTTGTGTAGGCGGCGGTTCCTGACACTTGGGTCACTCAGCCAAGTTTCCGACATGGTGTTAGTGAACGAGTGAAGGCCCCTTGCAGCGTCGCTTCTCGACAATGGAATTGGGGTTGTCTGGGCGTCCGCGTGGGTGGATCGGGCAGCATTATCAGCAAGCTCATTACCGACAATACCACAATGTCCCGGTAACCACTGGAACACCAAGTCATGTCCTTTCGATAAAACTTCGTGAGTCACTTCTCTTATTTCATTCACTAGCTGTTGATGCTCCCTCTGTCGTAAAGCTGATTGCAAGCTCTGAAGGGATGCCTTGGAGTCACAGAACACAGCCCATTTTTGAGGTCGGGCTTCCGCGATATAAAGTATAGCAGCACGTAAGGCGGCAAGCTCCGCTGCTGTGGATGTTGTCCTATGCGACAGTTTGAGCTTTATAGTGACCTGGTACGCCGGGATGACAACAGCACCTGTGGAGCTGTCAGCCTAGACCGATCCATCGGTGTAAATGTGGGTCCTCTGGCCGTATTTTTCGTTGAGTAGCGACAATGTCACCTGTCGTAGGACTACTGTTGAATGATGGCTCTTGTTCGTTATTCTCAGAATAGTGAAGCACACCTGTGGTTGTTGTAGGCACCACGGGGGTGACGCTGGTCTTGTTGCGGGAGTGAAGCCAAAAGGGAGGCATTCTCTATAGGCAGAAATAATCTTTGAAAAGATCGCGTGTGGTCTTTGAAGTGGCAACACTGCAACATGGTGACCAGGAACTCGGCAAAGGTGTCTTATGTGGGCTCTCAAATTGTCAGTGGTGATGTATGTTCGAATTGGATGCTCTCTTGCGATCATAATTGCCCCGTAGGTTGAGGTGCATCGCGGCAATCCTAAGCACACGCGTAGTGCTTGTCCTTGCAGGCTTTCGAGAGTGCGGATGTTCGTCTTGCACGTACTTGCCAGTAACGGCAAGCTGTAGCGCAAAAATCCCAGAAACAGTGCCCTGTATAGCTGCATCATTGACCTTATCGATGCGCCCCAAGATTTTCCGCAGAGGATTCGCATTATATGGACAATGGAAGTTAGCCTTCTCTTCAAGTAATTGCAGTGGGCACCCCACGAAAGGTCCCTGTCAATAATCACACCCAGGAAGCGATGGTTCGGGAAAAAAATAGTATTGCCTAGAGGGTGCTTCAGATTTTGGGCATGCAAGTGAAACTGCCTCATGACCAATAATTTATATAATGTTACTGGTTTGAAAAATTGATAAGAAACAATTTTCGTCCTTATTCCAAGGTGATATTTCTTCATGACTATGATAGCTTATTCATTTTTGGTCTTTTTTTACTGCGTTGGCGAAAAATTGCCATTTAAGGCAATCTGCGTAGATAAGCAATGGCATGCCTTGTTTCTAAACAGTGTGTCAAACTGTAGCTGCTATATTTTATCACAAGTATGCGAATGAATACCTTAGTTATAGTGTAATTGGGTAAGGTGTCACAACTCTTGTATGAAGCAATGCTGCCAAGGTTTCACTCCTGAACATAATAGGAACAGGGAAATTCATATTAGTTGGCTGAAACTTTTTCAGCGTAGCACACTAAGACGCAACATTTGGGAAGCTAACTGTCGCGCTGTGCAATATCGCTCCAAAAGCGTTTTGACGAGCCACCCATCAGAGAAGGCCGGGCTGCCAGGAAGACCCCAAATTTTTCTTTGTTATATCACTCACGCCGACACGACCGGACCGAGCAATGCAAACTGTTCGGCAATTCAAGCAGGAAATACTGACGCCTTTATTCATTCCTTTTTTTCCTAGAGCATCTCAGCAATGAATCCATCTTCGCAATGACATAGTCACCCTCATTGATAACAAACTTTTTCGCAAGGCTAGATCAAACATTCTTCAACTTGGAATTCATGACATCTTGTTATTTTTGTCGTAATAATGTATGATCAGGAAGTAATGTCATGTTTCCTTGTTAATATTATTAATGCAAAGCATTTTCTTACTATTGTATGTACAGCTAATTCTAGTCTTTTGTTTTACTGCACGGTTGTATACTATTCTTCTTGCGTTATTTATCATGAAATCTTGTATAATTTCCTGCTCACCACTCCCCTCTGTAATGCTTTCGGGTTCTGTGGGTACAATAAATAAATAAAATAAAAGCCATGCAAACAATGCACGCCTTTTCCTTAGCTATAACTGCACCTGAACACTATGGTTTTCTTCTCAGTATTAATCCACGTGAAATAGTTGCTAAGGTGCCAGAAGTATAGACTACCAAGGGCTAATTGCAGTAAAGTGCGTTGGAGATGAGTCAGGAAGTTTGCGTTGGGTTTGACAAAGAGAAATAGGGAGCCAACTTGGTTGCCTCTAACGTGCTCCGTGACTTCCTTTGGGAGCTTAGCAGGCATGCCGTCACGCTGCGATTCCTGGGTGTGCAAGTTGAATTACCGACCGTTGTATGCGCACAAAAATAAGGGCGAAATGCCAGAACACCTGCACACTTGGATTTTGGTGCACATTAATCCAGGTTACTACAGGTTAGAAAACTTGATCCAAACTTTCCCCCTCCTCCCCTTTGCTGTACCCGGCAAGCACATGGCGATATTGGAGCCTCAAACGCCACAAGGAAATAATATTGAACATTTTGGAAACCTTTGAATAAATGAGAGTGAATATATACGTTTGAACTGTAGGAAAAATTGTCTGTATATTTTTATCAACTCTGACAACAACACAGAAGACTTATCCCATTTCTTTTACTGGTGATCACAGGCCATGGCATCGAGGTTGCATCGGCTGTCAGTATAAGAAACAAAAAAAGAACCTAAAAGCAATGCTTCTATTTTCACCCATTCGAAATATGTAGTTGCGCGGCACACATTTACTTGCCAGTGAATTTGGGAAAGCGGCAAGTTGCTTGCGTGGTGGCGTGGCACAGAACAAAACCAAATTCCTCATTACCACTGTCGCCACTGCGTTTGCACTGCTACTGGTTGGTGCGCCGCATTATACATGAGTATATCATATCTTGACGAGCAATCCCTTCATGTAACGCACACACTGCTGGTTTAGAAGGTTCCTAATTATAAATAGAATCTTTTCAGTGTTAAAGACAAAACGCATGCCAAAGAACAAGCTGGGAATTACAAGAAGGTTTTATCGTTGCAAGAGCACGTCCACGTGAACAGGATATTTTAAATTACGCATCACGTGGTTCTACTAATTGGTACCGCCCTGAAATAAGCAGTACGGAAAGACCGGCATTATTTCTTGCGCTGGGTAATTCACACCACAAGTAAGGGTTGTG